CCCCCGCCCCTTCCCACCTGCCTGACTCAGGAGCGCCCGCCAGCGCCCCACCTGCTGGGGGACTTGAATGGCCTGGTATTCGTTACGAGGCTTGCGCGCGCCGCAGCCCCGTCGGGCCTAAACGGCTTATGCGCCCCGGCCCCGCTGCTGCTGCTGCTCTCAGTGCAAGGCGATTCCTCGGCTGCCCTCCCCGTCCCTCCCGGTCCCCCCATCCTGCGTGCCAAAAGGGATCATGACGATTCAGGTGCAGGCAGCAGGCGCTCATTATTATTGAATGGCCGCGCCCTGGACTTTATATCGCTGAGCCTTCGCCGTCGTGGAGCGTAGAGCAAAGAGGTGTCCATCCTGTTGCTAAGGCCCTGCTGGGTGGTGTCGGCGTGCGGATGGTCTCTCCAGGACTGTGCCCTCCTGGACTTGCAGGCAGGGGCAGGTGGAGGCTACTGTTGACGTCCTCCTGACACCGGCTTCCTGGAATCTCCACACAACTTCAGCCTCCTGCTCTTTGCCTGCTCCACACGTGTGTCGCGCACAGTCACCTTACGGCCCTCTCTAAGCCCTCTCGCCCGTGAGCATCGCCAGAGGTCCGGCCCGCGCCGCCGAGAGGGTCCGAGGCGCTAGCCTGCTCCTGGTGCAGCGGGAGCAGCTCCCCGTGCAAACAAACACACGGCCGGCGCGCACACACACGCGGTGCATCGCGCGCCACGCCACGCCACGCGTGTTTGGCCAGCGTTACGACTGTTGAAACGGTTTCCCCCCTCAAATTAACGCCTTTGCTGCCTTCCTGCCTCAGTGACTGACTACCTCGCGGCGGCGTGGCGTGGCGCTGTCAGACTGGCTCGCCACGCAGTGCAGCGCCCCCCTGTTGTTTGCATTTCGCGCCTCACATGAGAATGACTTGTCATGACGAACGGGAGACAATTATGGCCACTGTGAGGGTGGGTGTTGTACGAGGGGATTTTAAAGAGCGAGATTTTTCCGGAAAAATTGGAAACTTTGTCAGGAAAAAATAGGAATATAATATATCCAGAAAAATTGGAGAAATGAAAGTTTTTTCATGAAAA